TGGTATTGTTGTGGTGGTTCCCATGGTGTGTAACTATTTTGGTGTTATTAGTAGTATATCTATAGTTTATGTGCATTTCCTACCAATAAATTAATAGACATGCTTAAGAGAGGGTATATACTCATTTTTTTTCTTTTGGGAAATACTCCATCCGTTCCAAATTATAAGTCGCTTTGACTTTTTTAGTTCATCCATTTTGCTATGCATCTAGACATATTTTTATATCTAGATGCATAGCAAAATGGATGTACCAAAAAAGTTAAAGCGACTTATAATTTGAAACATATGGAGTATATATCATCATTTTGGTATTCAGATCGAGTGGCGGCGATCCAGCCCCGAATGGCAGCGCCAGGCCGACAGATGCAAACTCCGTGGCACTCGCGTCCGCCCGTTAACACAGCACTCGCGCATCCTCCTCTTTGGCGTTGTCTCTCTCCCTCCTCCCCCACAGCCGTAGCCGCCGGGACATGCAAATGTGTGATCTTGACGCTGGATTCAGCTCTCCCTCGAGCCCCTCCTACCCAAAGGCATCACCTTTGCTCTGATATGTGGTTTTGTGCGGTCATGAGTTGCTTGTGATCTCTTCTCTAGGGGAGGTTTCCCGTCCGGTTACTGACTTACTATTGTGGGGCCAGAATTGGGTCGCAGAGTTGTCGTTCTTGCCACCGTGGAGCGCCAAATCTGGAGCCTAGAGGAGAGTGGAGGCCTCCGCGCCTCGCCAACGGCCGGTCAATCCGAAATTCATTTAGGTAGTTTGGTTAGGTTGTGTTCTTTTTTATCCCTTAAGAAATTCGTAGTAGTGTCTGGAACTTGGGGGAAGTCTGTTGTTGGGTTCATAAACCCGGGGTCCCTAATGGACCCGCTTCCCTGTAAAACCCGGCCCAGCAAGCGGCGTAGCGATAGCACACGCCTGGGCTGGCCAGATACATAATGACAGTCCGAGACAACGATCGGGTCCCCGATCGGAAGGCCTGGCCAAGGTGGAACCGCAGCCCGACTCCGACCCCCTTCTCCGACCAAGGATACGCTGGACCTCTGCTCGTTGCTCGTTCTCGACTAATACGGTCGGGACCAACGGGGAACAACTGACCAGGATGCCCACTCGATGTGGGCCCGTGGAGCAGGCGGAGCAGATAAGGTAAGGCGCTCAAGTCAACCGCAATATCGAGGACTGTACCCTGCCTTGCCCTGCGCACCTGCAGGACGGTGCCATCAGGGCATGTCAGGCGAACATGGTAGAGCCTGCAAGACACATTAGAGTATAAACAGTATTGTAGGCGCCGTCGTTTGCTGTACCAGGCGAATATGGTAGAGCCTGCCAAATGTGTCTGAACATAAACAATATTATAGGCGTCGACGGCCATCCCATACCCGATGGTGTGGGCAACAAGACTAGGCAGCACATGTATACACTCTCTCTCTTTTTCTCTGACTTGTAAAGCTATCCCCTTCAACTATAAAAGGGGATGAGTTCTCTCCTAAAAGCCCCCTCAAGATCGGGTCGACTGACACTACTACAGTCTACATGCTCTCAACAGCTGATAAGTTCGGACACACAGAGCATACGTTCCAATACTTAGCGCACATTTGAGCATCCGTCACTCTCTTCCACTCGGTTCATAGTACGACCGGGCCTCTAACACCCCCTTTCTCATTCCTTACTCGTTTGTAACTCCACATCAAACTTCGAGCACCTAGACTCAGGAATAAAGTCACCGACCGACCTTAACTGGACGTAGGACCTATTGCCTGAACCAGTATAAATCCTGTGTCATTGAGTGCTAGGCCACATCCGATCATAACATACGACAAAACTACAAATATTTACTTGTTGGTCACTTTTCGCACCGACAGCTGCTATGTACTCTAATCTTGTGTGGACCTTTTTTCCCTATGATTTTAAGAATTGTCAAGGCTATCCATGCAGAATAAGCTATGGCATATTAAGAATTATCAAGGCTATCCATGCAGAATGAGTTGAATTTTATCAGCTTCATAGCAAGCGGTGACTTTGAGTAGTTAGTACCTTTGTGCTACATATATTTTAATCTACTTGGGCAGTTGGAAAACAACAAAGAACACAGGAATGCCTCCATATTTTAAGTTTTCCTTTTGCATAATACTATATAAAACTTGATTGTGCACAGGGGCCATGGCAGCTTAGGAAGCCGTCTGCAAGGATCATCTCCTATTCCAGAGTCACTGAAAAATGTTCAAGATGCAAAAACTAGAAAGAGTTGCATCTTGCTTGACTACATTGTCTATCCCTTCTCCTATATACAACACCAAGTTCTTTTAATCTGAATTTCATTGAAATTTTGCTTACCTCATGTAACTACTTGTGTTTTAGAAAGGGTGAGTAGCTTTGTTGCAATTTCAAGATCTGTGACTTAAGTATGATGGTCTCATTATACTATGCTAGAATTATAGTATGTTGATTACAAGTCTTTTGTATTGAATTAAATAATTGTCTATATCTCATTGAGTTACTAATTGCAGATACTAATGGAAGAATGTTTCAAAGCGTCAAAGGCATACTAAACTGGATCATAATTCAATACTGAGGGCATATGGTTGAAGGCATGTTATTATCTAAAATATGAAGAATGGTGGCCTTGGTATACCGGTCCTCTATGAAACAAACTGATAATTCAAGGAGATGGTTAGTTCTAAAAGGTTGATAAATCAATTAATTTTGTTATGGTGATATAAACTTTTATGTGCGTATGCACAAATATACAATACTATAAATGCATACCTTATGATTGCAAACCATTAATGAGAATTTTAGCCATGCACAAAATTTAATTTGTAATATTGATATTCCGAACATCACGCTCGCATTATTGTTTTTTGTAACAAAACAACACGTTTATGCTCAAATTATCAGGGCATTATTTGTTCGCGTTGCAACGCATGGAAAGGTCAGGGCATTATTTGTTCCCGTTGCAACGCACAGAAAGGTCTATATAGTATCGTTGGTAAGCCTGCGATGACGCACTCTCTGTGACTGTGTTAATTTCATGAACTTTTGTTTTTTGGATTAAATGTCACTTTAACGTTGGTATTTAATTTTACAATATTGTTATCTTATTGTGCAATCCGTGTGTTTTTAGTATAAAAATTTAGTTGTCCTGTAACAACGCTCATGCACGCTACCCAGTAATATGAAAAAGCAAGGACTTGACCAATTGACCTCCCACAAATGTTAGGGGCCGGTTTACCGCCACACCACGTGAGAAAGTAAATTGATGCATTTAGTATTATTCACAACTAGTGGATGGAGAACAATTAGGGGTGGAAGTGGTGTGGATAATTCTCAGCTTCGCTCCGATTATTTAAATCCATATTCGTATCCAATTCCACTCCATATCTGTACCGGTTTCAACATCTGAAAATCTGTATTCGCATCTGCATCTGCGTATTATCCACTCTGCTTTGAATCCGACAAAGAAAAGCAGATTAAGATATGGGAGAGGCATTATCTTCTCCGATCCAACCCGTTTTCATCCCTAGAGGACATGCTTTGCCGGTACCTTCTGTGACCAGCGTGGTTCATTACTACCCAAACCTTTTCCCCAGACAGCCAAAACTCATTTTTGGAGGCGGGCAATACATCCGCCTCGAGCCATCACCTGCGTTAATCGAGATTTACATAGTGGACAGAAATGTTCGCCTCCATTAATAAGATTTATAGAGTCAACACAAATGACCGCCTTCGGAAATAAACTCAGAAAACAAATGGAGGGAGCTTGGCCGTCCACGCTCGACACCGGGAAGGAGCCCTGGCAGCCCGTACGTGCCACTGAGAGGGGGCCTTGGCCACTCCCGCACGTCGCCATGAGGGACCTGGCCGTCCGCGCACATTGCAAGAAGGGAGAGAGAAGCTGGCGGCGGCTGAGTGTGTTGCCAAGAGAAGGGAGGAGAAACATAGAGACCTAGGGTTTGCCCAGTTTATATACTCAAAATATTAATACTGGGCTGAGATAGGGCACAAAGATGTATAATGGGCTCGACCTAATAACAAAGGCGGGCCTGCCCATCTCTGCTAATCAATTTTAGGAGATCAGCATTTTTCCAGCATGGCTCTTCTAGATCTGACAGCACTGCCTCCTCCAACCCTAGATCTCGGGGATGGGACGACAAGGGTGAACTTAGGGCACCGGCCTTGCAACAAGACATTGGACCCGCATTTTAATCCAAATTCTGATACGAATACACATTTTTTCAAATATAAATACAAAAGGAATGTCTCGGATTCCGATATTTACTCAACTCAACTCAAAGCGCATATTGTTAAATTCAACATTAATGAAAAGAATTTTACTACTAAGCTGTCGATAACCAAAGTGAAATAAAATCGAAGTACATTTCTAATAATCTCCAATATCGAAGTGAACTAAATTATAATGGATAATATTTAATAAAATGATAGGTTAACAGAAGAAATTTAAATAAAATAATATAGTTATCAATAAATATTTTAATAATTAGTTATATCAATTAATCAATCATTACTTATATAATATTTATCATGAAATTATAAATTATATAAAATAATTTACATCATCAAAAAAGTTAAAGTATTAAAATAATTTACAACAATAAATATATTAGGTTTTAAACTAAATTAGAAAATATTAAAATTAATTTGATATTTATGTATCATTGCCGCCCATTGCAATGTAGAAAATTCACTTGCCGCCCTAATTGCAGTGTTTCCCATTTTCATTTGCCGCCTAATAATTCCCGCCAACTGTTCGGCTTAGTCAGAAACCAGTTTGTTCGACTTCTTTTTTTCGATCGAAACAGTATTTTTCTCTAACAATAATTTAGTCGTAACAGTATTTGTCGGTGAGTTGGATTAAAACTCCCCGCCGCCGCCTCCTCCATTATCTTCGCTAGATCTAGCCTCCGTACGGCAAGCGGCAACCACACAATCCTCCACCGCACCAACGACTACACCGGAACAACACAGCCGCCACGAGCGTTGCCACATGGCGAAGGCCGTCCGCCGGCCGCGCGGCCGGGCGCTGTTGCTGTTGGCCCGACGCGAACCGCTGCCTGTAGAGGGCCGGGTGGAGGTGATCTTCATCAACTCCGGTCGTGCCGCAGACGTCTTTCCTTCCCGTCGCTAAATCCGCTTTCTGCCGTCGGTGAGCAGATCTGCACCTTTCCCCCTCGTCATCTATTTCTGTTGTCTCGCAACTAGCCAGGGGCCGAGGATGGCAAGTCTGGCAGCTGCCGTACCTCGATTATGCCGGACTGTCTTCTTTAATCGCTGCCCCTTGCCCTAATAATCTGCCATAAACGAGAGCTGCTAACCTCTGAATGCCATCTAGAGGAAGAAGAAACTGTCTGCTCTCATGTTATGCGACTCAACCTGTATTTTGGGTCTCAAGCCTATGTATATATATTCCGGACTTTGCAATTTCTCGTGAATAATTGAATTGCGATCTCGTCCGGGCATCCGGCCATCACCGTCTGTGAGTTCCAGTTCCGGCAGCCCTCTGCGAAATTGTGCGCAAGTTGAGTTCCGGTGAGTAAGCGAGTTCTGAACTTTTGATTCTGGCGATAGGCAAGTTTCGGCGGCCGTCTGCACTCTGCGAGTTCATGCCAATACACTACAGCAAGGAGAGTAGGCAAAGCCAGGTGGCATTGCAGTCTGCAGTCTTTGCTAGCAGGCATCAGTCTAGAGCAAACACGCCAACTATGTCCTGCCATCAAGCATTAGTCATTAGATCAAATAAATTACTTTTTAATCACCAACTACTTTTAAATTATTGTTTGTTTAATTTATTTATGTTGGTTAATTACTCAATTTGGTTGATAAATTTGTGAAGCAGAGAAAGATAGGTAAGTGCAATTGCCTATGTATGCTAAATCTTATAGTTTACTATCTATGTTATAAATTTCGCCATACCTAAAGTTTTTCTGTCCTCCGCCACTGCTATAAGCCTAATTTATATTACTGCTGCAGCTACCATCGATTAATTCTTTCTAGCCTAATTGGTCATATCTGATTGAACGTAGTGGTAGGTTTAGGGTTTTTTTTTTTTTTTTTTTTTTTTTTGGTCTTGGAGGACTTTACTTTGGTGGTGCTACTTTGCAATGAAGCACTAATGTCTGGATGGATGCTACTGCAATCAGTTCGACAAGTTACTGATTTTATTCCCTAGATCTTACTCACTGGATTCTAGTGTTATGCTCCTTAATGTAGAGATTAGTTTGGGTTTATTTTGGAGTTTTAGAAAAGAAGGGATTATTGGAGATTAGTCTGTTATGCTCCTTAATTGAACATAGTGGTAGGTTCAGATGCTTTTGTTCTTGAGTACACTAATTTGGTGATGCTACTTTGCAATGAATCACTACTGGCTGGCTTTCTGCTATTCTGAATGGAAGTAATAAGTTCTTTAGACTTCAATCACTTAATTTCTCAGTTTTTCCCTAATTTTGGTTTTCTTTGCAAGATATATAAATCATGGCAAGAGGACCTCGAAGATTAAGGAACTTGAACCTTGAAGCACAGGATGCAGAACCTATGCAGGAGGGGCTTGAAAATTTGGCAGACAATGAGAACGAAGAGAATTTAGAAGGTCCCTCTAGATATTGATGATATATTAGCCAGCATGCCACGCCAACAAGACACTCCAATTAAGATAATATGTAAGTTTGATATTGCTTGCTTACATATTTGGATATGATGTTAATTCATTAATATTATATATGTAGGGCCAAATGAAAAATAAGATACAACGCATTACTGGAATCATGAAGCAGTGGCTTGCTTTTATGTCTAAAATGTTTCCTGAAATGGATTGCATAAATGAAATAGAATCAGCTCTTCATGATGAAGTAAGCATCTATGGGTCCATCAGAGATCAGTCTGTTCTTATTTTCTCTTTGCTGTGTCTGATGTTTCATTTTCCTGCAGGTTGGTCATATTGAAATGGATGGTGATGATACAGAGCACGCTTGTAGTGATGATGATGGCCATGGTGCTTACAGTAATAATGATATTGGCATCGATCCTGAAGACTCAAATGAAAATGTTTACTCTCCAACAAATGATGTTCGGGTAACACAATACCCTTTCTATATCTACTTTCTTAGCTACAATATAGTATTTAGGTACATTTTAATGTCCTAAATACTATAGTTCTTTGCAAAAAAAAACATCAATCACATGTCTATAATTCTAAGTAAACCAGGATTTTTCCCAGTCATCGTTACCACGAGTAAATCGTTGCCTAGTGATAGAACACCTCCTATCAGTCTGTTGTGTCTATCTGTTCCACATGAGACTCAACAGTTTTTTTTTTGTTTTTCTATATTAATTATGATATGAGCATATATTCTTAGCTAGCCTTTAGAGTAAGACTGAGAGCAAATTAAATGGCTCCTTGTTTAAATTGATAAGAACAGATGCTATACATGACAATTAGATGAGTAGATATTGAGTTAGTGAAACTATGTGATGACATGTAATAATTGAGATTTGGGCATTATATTTCAGAAGGCAACTAAGTAGGTTCTGTTATTTTACTCTGTAGCCTAACAGTTCTGAAGAATCAATTGCTAATGCGTACTCTCCAACAAATGATGTGCAGGTAATACATTTCCTATTTTGTTTCTAATTTCCCTAGCTACAAGCATAGTATGTAAATTGTTGCTGATGTCCTAAAAACTTTGGTTCCTCTTATTTTGTAGCGTGATGGAAGCATATGACTTGATGTGGATGGAAGCTGCAAGTAAATGGAAGCATGCGACTTGATGTGGAGGGGAAGGCGAGATATAAGTTTAGTGTGAACAAGATAGATTTTAGATGTCAGAGACAAAATTATATATATTTGTATGATATGGTCACTTTTCCTATACTTCCTGATGAACTTGTTGTCTCGTTGAATGCACTTTAATCTATTACTTAATTAGTATCTTGGTTTGTAAAGATAAAATAGATTTTATTAATGCAATTTATGATTCACTTTCTTATTATCAAATCATAGAAATTAGTATAAAAATCATTTATGTCCAGTAAAAAAAATCTTTGTTTCTAATATGTAAGAAGCTGTTAATATAAAGTGTGTCTATAATAATAGTTACGCTATATAGATGCATCTATGAAAAGTATCCCTATTTTTATTAAGATGTACTAAAACGTTACAACACAACGTATTTATATTAGTAGACACCAATATGAAATTTTTAGTTTTTTTCTTGAGACGCAACATGGTGTACCTATACAATGTATCAAAATCAGTACACACGCCATTAAACGCATCTATTAAAACGTCTCTAGACTTCTTGACGCATAATAAGGCGTCACTGTGCAGCGTGATTAAGTAGGTACACATGTAATATTAATGCGTCTATGAGAGCGTCTCTAATTTTCTTAACACATAATAAACCGCTGCTGGACATCGTAACTAAAAAAATAGACACGCTATATAAATGTATCTATAAAGGGTATCAAGATGTGTAGACATGCAAATAACATCTCTACAAAGCGTCCTTTTATCTCGATACGCTTTGAGAATTCGTCTCTACAAGTTATGACACGGTCCATGCAAAGATGCTTCTAACACGTTTTATGAAAACGTCCTTATATTCTCGTAGACGTGAAGTAAAGTGTGTCTAATGTATAAATAAAGCGTCACTACAGGGGGGTTATTTCTAGTAGCGCTTAGCATTTCCGAACTCTGCCCTTTGCCTTTCCGCCCTTTCCTTCGCCCCCAAATCCCCTTTTTCGTCGGCGCCATGGCCTCAAGCTCTGAACCCGCCGGACGCGATGCCGCCGCCTAACGGGAAGGGGCTGCTGCAGCGGAGCCCCAGCCCTTAGTCCACCTGAAGGAAGAGCCCGAGGAGCTAGCGGAGCTGGCGGAACCAGTGGTCATCGTCCAGCTGAACAAGCACTGGGTCCCCTCGACGACGTCGGAGACAAACCTGGAGACGCTGAGGGCGCGTGGTTGAAAGCTCCAGTTTGGTTTTAGTGAATTGATGAAACCCTAAGTGCTAACATAGTTTATCAAAGTGATTATGAGATAGGTAGCACTACTCCAAATGATGAAGCAAATGAAGATCGTGACATGATGATGATGATGGCATGGTGATGATCAAGTGCTTAGACTTGGAAAAGAAGAAAGAAAAACAAAAAGCTCAAGGCAAAGGTGAAATTGATAGGAGCTTTTTGGTTTAGTGCTCGAGACACTTAGAGAGTGTGATCACATTTAGGATCGATAGCCGTACTATTAAGAGGGGTGAAACTCGTATCGAAATGCGGTTATCAAAGTGTCACTAGATGCTCTAATTCATTGCATATGCATTTAGGATCTAGTGGAAAGCCAACACCCTTGAAAATGTTTGTGAAAATATGCTAACACACGTGCACAAGGTGATACACTTGGTGGTTAGCACTTTTGAACAAGGGTGGAGAAGTTGGTGAAATCAAGAAAGTGATAGTCACTGAGATACAGTGACCGGACGCTGGTCACGCAGTGACCGAACGCTGGGGTCCTACGTCCGGTCAGTGGCGCGCAGTGAAGGCCGCCCTCGGTCTCTTGACCGGACACAGGCGACCGGACTCTAGCTGAACACTGTTCAGCGTCCGGTCATGCTGATGTGGCGGCGCACAAAGAAGACAGTGAGTGATTGGACGCTGGTCGAGTTTGGTCGGGCATGACCGGACGTGTGTGGTCACGACTGGAACCTTAGTGGAAATGATCGGACGCTGGGGTCCTGTGTCCGGTCCTACACTGTAGTGTGTTCGGTCACAACTTAAATGCTCTGATGACCGTTGAGATTGGGCGATCAGCATTTGAAGCAGGGGACACATGGCGAAGATCTGAGGACCAGACGTTGGGGTCCTACGTCCGGTCAAACCGATCGGTCGCCCCGATTTTTCAGGGAACACAGAGCCAACGACTCTATTCGTGGGGGCTCTCTATTTAAGCCCTATGGCCAACTCAAGCTCACTCTCTTAGCCATTTGCATTGACATAGCAACCTTGTGAGCTTAGCCAAAGACCTCCCACTCATCTCCACCATTGATTCATCATCTTTGTGAGATTGGAAGAGAATCCAAGTGCATTGCTTGAGTGATTGCATCTAGAGCCACTTGGTATTCATGTTTTGCTACAGGATTCACTTGTTGCTCTTGGTGGTTGCCACCACCTAGATAGCTTGGTGCAGCGAAGGAGGATTGGCATGAGTTGGTGATTGTTCGTGGCCATCTCCCGGTGATTGTGAGGGGACTTGTGCCTTCCCAGCGAAGAGCCAAAAGGTAACCTTAGTGGATTGCTCGTGTCATTGAGTTACCTCACTTGTGGGTAGGTTCTTGCGGTGTCCAATTGTGTGGATGAGGTTCGTACAACACCTCTTAGCCGCCGAACCACCAAGTGTTGGTCAACACAACAGGGACATAGCGTGTTGGCAAGCACGTGAACCTCGGGAGAAAATTGGTTGTCTCTTGCCTTTGGTATTCTCTTGGTGATTGATTTAGTATTCATCTTGTGATTGGTTCACTCCTCTACACGGCGGTATAATCACCCTACTCACTCATTTATATTCTCGCAAACTAGTTGTAGCAAGCTCTTTAGTGTAGCTAGAATTGAGAGCTTGCTTTGTAGTTTGAATTTATCTAGTGGAGCTTTTTAGTGTAGCAAGTGTGAGAGCTCTTAGTGAGTACTGACTTAGCAAATTGTGTGTCTAGTGATCATAGTAACTAGAATTGTTGGATAGGTGGCTTGCAACCCTTGTAGAGCTAGATCAAGTTTGTATTTCGCTATTTGTTATACTAATTAAATTGCTCTAGTTGGTTTGTAGATTTTTAAATAGGCTATTCACCCCCTCTAGCCATATTAGGACCTTTCAGTGGTCTGCTTCTAGAAGGGTACGTGTGGACTGCTACCCAAGGTGAGAAACACCCAACCCCTGACACCTTCCAAATCACCACCTTTACTGCACATTGCGAGTGTAGATTTGGAGTGCCGCCGTCCATGTTCTTGGAGTGAGTCTGTAGGCACTATAAGATCGAGATTGCTTAGATGCTGCTAAACGCTATCGCTATGTTGAGTGTTTTTGCCATTTTGTGTGAGGCGTGGCTTGGCGTCGAGCCTTATCTCAGCTTATGGCACTACTTCTACTTGGGCATGTACCACGACAACAATCTATTTGTTGGGTCGGTTGGCTTCTCCCTTAGTAAGAAGGGGGAGTACATTGTCTTCCTGGTTAAGTCCTCCTAGAAGGGCTTTGCAGAGAAATGGTTTTATAATGATCTTCGAGAGAAGAATGTTATCAAGGCTGATTATAGAATGCCCATAACCAACGAGGCTTGGTACTCACCCCCCCCATCATGACTAAAAAGCCGAGGGGCCACATCAAGCGTGTTTGGGCACTTTGGGAGGCCGGATTGACTGCCACACACATAGTTGAGACCATTGCTCAGTGGAGGATTATTCCCTTGAAGCATAGGGATTTGGCCTGCACCTACTCGGGGGTTATGGATCCTAACATAGAGTCGAGAGAAGGTTAGATACCTCGACCTGGTTTTTCTCTTTACTCAGAAGCCTTAACCCTTTGGTGTGTAATTTTAACCTTCACTTACTTCCGCAGAAGTGCTAGAGGAGAAGATCACTCGTCGAGTGAAGTACATCCTTGGCGTAGACCAGGCCGACTGGGAGGGCGTCCCCCAGCCATACTGCACCGAGAATCCTTCTCCCGTGGTGAGTTACTTAAACCTTTCTCGGCTATCTTCCTTAAATAGTCAGGATAATTTTAATCCTTGTATTTGCCAGGCAGCCTCCGGAATCAACATCATCCTGGGAAGTGTTGCCTTGAGCGATGATGAAGGGGACGCCGCAGAGGCTCTCCAAGCCCCAGCTTCTAAGCTTGCTAGTTCCATGGATGAGCTGGCGCACGAGCAGGCAGAGATTGAGGCAAAATTTGCCCAAGAATAGATGGTAGTTAGGGCAAAGCAGCCACAGGAGCAAGCTCCTCTTGAGAAGACCCCTACGCCCAAGCCGCGAACAACTCGGGCAAAGAAAAAGATGGGAGACACAGCCCAGGGGCCTGTGAAGCCCAAGAGAGCATCGGCTGCCCGATCGGTCCCTCAAGTAGAGAAGAGGAAGCTCCGATCGCAAGGGGAACCTGATCATGTCACCCTACCAGAAAGCAAGAGAGCCAGGAGCAAATCCAAGAGCCCTTCGTCTGGAGAGGGTGTGAAGGCTGTGGCAACTCAAGCTGGTGCTAGCGAAGAGCGCTCGATCAGAGACCCGCTTTGCGGACATGACCAGGTATCCACTATGATCATCTTTGGTAGGCTATTAGAGACATTCTCTTATCTGGATAGTATCAAATGCACATGGGAGGTTTGTCTTTAGGAGAAAGTAGCAACCGCGACAACCAGCAACCCGACAGCTAGGCGAGCGCCGAAACTTAAGTGCTCCATCTCTTTTAAGCCATGAGTGAACTAAATTGTGTGGTTATATGCTTGTCCCAAGTATCCTCTTGACATATGTGTCTTCTGGCAATGTTTCTAGGTTAGAAGAAGCCCCAAGCTTGACAGCTAGAGGTGACAATTCTAATGCAGCCCCAACCTCGGATAGGCCTAACCTAGAGCCGTCGACCTAGGTTAAGGTCCTAGGGAGCGAGGAGATGGTTCTCAAAGATGACCCTTCCCAGATGGGTCCACTTATTGAGGGTTTGAAAGCCTGTCAAAGCTCGTGGAAAGGA